ATCCCTTGATTTAGCAAACGATTTTCTGAACGCACAAACTTTCATTTCAATTCTTTCCTAGTATTCCTTTCACTGTCGTAACATTTATATGAAAGATTGTAGAAGTTAAATGCAAAACAAAAAAAAAAATAAAAGAAAAAATCTAGCTGAGTTTCAAATGTAATGCATTGATGGAATAACTGAGTTTGATATAAAGTTCTTTACTTCAGCGCAGCAAAGTATTTTTTTGTTACTTCGTGATATGCGGATTCTATCTAAACAAACATCACTGGTTATCTATAAGGTACCTCTACGCTTTCTATCCTTGCCCTGAAATGAGATGTGAGTATTCAAATTTCTGCGGATATTTAAACGCGAAAATAGCGTAGGGAGGTGAGGCTGCGGCGCTCGCATTGCTACATATACATTCGTGTAGCGAAATAATGCCAAACACGCATATGGCGGAATTGTCAGACTGTTGCGATTGACTAACCTGCCCAACTGAGCAAGCCACTTATCCGGCCCGAGCGTAAATGTATCGCTCAAGCCGAGCTCCAAAGTGCGAGCGACGGGACATTTACGAGCTGATGACGCCGAATTATCGTTGGTCGGCCGTGTAAATCTCCCGTCGCTCGCAGCGATGGATCGCTCAAGCGATCCGTCGCTCCTGCAATTTGTGCACAATCGCTCCAATCGCAAAGTCTGGACATATCCGAATTGTCGTCAACGAGATTAATCTTGGATTTCCTGTGTACATTTAACAGTTAGAGTAGGGTAAAACAATTAGAAATGTGGAAATAAGCCAACGACAAACAACCAACTGTTACGAGTAAATTATTAACGCATTCATATTGAGTTCACCGTTGTTCACACTAGACTATTGAACAACGCTCAATGAGAACAAGCATATGTGCAAGCTCGCTTATAAGAAAATTCGCGTTGTTTGAAGATTAAATTCTTATTTAACACTCTGCTATGAAGGCGCGAAACTGATGTATGACGCATTCCGACGCAAGTCGCAACAAAGGTGGCAACTATTGTATAGCCAACACATAACATCTCCTTTTTTTCACACATGCCTGCGTCCTACTTCCATGTTTTTTCGTGTGCATTCATTCAAGTCACACTAGCAGTATAACCAAAACAAGATGAGCTCCATCAGAACGCTAATATTGTTCACTTTGCAGAGTTGCCCGAAACCTTACGAAAATATCGTTCATGATTTCATTGACTCGTTTATCTGCATAAACGTTAAAAACGTAGCATGAAAATAAAGTAATAAAGTTGTAACAACCCTATTCACATGGCAAGATATGTATATGTACCACGGGCCAAATAATTTCGGAACCACTAAAACTAAAGTAAGTAAAATTTGCCTTCTCGTGGCTATAACATGTCATTTCGATGAACTTCAATTACTGTAACTCCCGATATTAAGCAAATATGACATAATAGAAAATATCTGGTACGCATTAAAGTTTGCGTATTTACAGCTCAAAATCCATGGCGATGAGGTGATGCGACGACGCCTTTGAAATCTCGCCGGTCCCACGCTACCAAAAAAAACCAAAATGAGGTTATACGACACTCAATGTTAATAAACAGGATGATTGACCAATTTGACCACAGTTCCTTTCTTTCAAATTGGTATTTCTTTCAGTTAATCATACTCGATCCACAGAACAAAAAGGTTTGAGCAAATGCAAGCCAATCCATGACCACAGCCAATGCTAAAAAACGATAAATTTCGTTTCTTACTGCTACCGCTCAATTCGTGGCAGCAACACCTTGTTTTTTATCTGTCCTTCCAAATTCTGTACAGTGCACGCATATTTCAATACTTTCACATTGATTCCGTGTTTAGTTGACCGGTTATTGAAATCCGATTATCAGAGAGCTGTGTTGTATTAGTTGAACCATGTTCAAGTGCATATATCAAGACTGAGGACAACAAATCATTTACCATAGAGTTACGAAGTGTCGCAGAAATTCTACAATGTTGAGCATGGGCATAGATATGGTGCTAAAATACAATTGCAGTTCAGTTCAAACCAGACGGGTCGAACCGTGATATTAGCTAAAGTGTTTGAGCATATTCCACGATACAAGGGTTGACCTTTCATACTGCCCGCATGACATCTTTCGGAATTTCATCTCATACCTTTTAAAGAGTAGCTTCCAGTGACCCTTCCCGAGTGTGTGGTACGCAGGCTTCTTCATCTTCAGTATCGACTACATCGAATAACCCTTTACACTTAAATTGGAGGTTTCGGCTAGACAATGTTTGCGCGGCCTTAAACTGGACAAATGGCTCTCTGCGGACTTTGGCGACATTCAATCTGTGAGCCAACACACAATGTTGTTAGTAAATCCAGCTATTCAAATAGTAGAGCAGCTTCTTTGAAAATCCTATCTCGGATAGCATTCGGCTTTGACTCAACTCCCAAATGGACGAGAACCAATGGAAAAGAAAAGTCGCGAATACCAGGCTCAATGCATCGCTGAGTAAGAGATAGAGCTAGATTTACGTCAATGTCTGTAGTCCAAACTTACTGAGCACAACTCATCACATGGTCTATCCTGATTTTGTCAAATCTGTAGACAGTTTCCGCATGCGATCGGCAATCTAGCATGGCCTGACCCGATTGGCGCACTATTGGCCCAGTAAACCCCTCTTTCGCGTCGTATCGTGCCTAAGTCAGCAGAGGGAAAGAGAGAGCGCTATCGTTGAAGAGGGCAGTACCGAAGAGAGCCGCATCAATGCCATTTCCGTTAATTCTTCTTTCATGCAACACTGCCTATCTCTGACTCAATTTCCAATAGGCTGGCTTTTCAATCACAGAATCTGCCTCTAACTTTTTGACAATATTCACAGCCACACCCTGGCTTCCGCAGCTTTCAAACTCTACAACGAAGGCATTTAAATAACTTCGCTCAGAAAATGACAACGGTCTGGCAATCCACTCTCAAAAAACAGCAACATATCTTGAAGGAGTTCACCTGATGGGGCATTGAAAGCTAGAAGATCCTTTATCTCAAATAAAGACTATTCCACAAATGAAGGAATGATATAAACTGGCATTAAAGTAACAATGGCAGTCTAATGTCTCAGCGGCTGTCATGGGGTTCATTAATGGAGTTTTTTCTGATGTCTCCAATTTTGTCACCTAAATCATGCGGCATATTTGCACGAGTTTTCACCGTAAAGATACTTTTACGAATTCTGCAAGGTCATTTTTCCATCCCTTATGTGAAATAGAATCTATAACTACAGTTGGTGGGGTGATGGTAATTATGATTGTTTTTTAGATATTCAAAACTCTTTGGCAGGATCCAAAACGTAGTGTAGTATTTGGAAAATAATTGTTTTGATTGGCAGCTTATGTTAGTACCCTCTCTGTACTGTATAGCACTTTTAACATAGCAAGGAGGAGGATGGAGAGGGGATGTAGGTTGTAGTGACTCAATCGAATAAACGGGCAAGGAGCAGAAGACGGTGAGAGGATCGCATCAGATCTGGGAGGAGGAGGTCTTGTCAGCATGGCTTCTCTTACCGAGCCAGGGATAACAGCGCTGACAAAATAATTATCATGATTGAGTGCTGAACTTGGATATTTATGTGAAAAAGTTCAGCAGGTCAGAATCGCATTCGAAAAGAAAATTCACAGTGTTGAAGCACTCGAGCCCGCTGGTTCTTGTAGAAGCGATCGCTGCACAGGTAACAGCAGACCTCCACAAACCTAGTGTTTGCCATCCCTGGTATTCTTGGTGCTTGGTACAATTTTATTTGCTTTCCAGACTGGGTCATAATGACTGCTGGCCACCGCCTAGTCTATGCAGCTACTTGTACTCGAAACTCACTCTCTTGCTCTATTTTATCGATGTTTACTACGAATTAATGTCCTCTATTTACGCAACTGTCAAATGCTGAACATTCTTCAATAACTTATATTCCTGCACGCTCATTTTCAATAAAGTTCGTATTTTGTTTTAATTATTATTTTATTTTTTGGATTTCAAAATTCTCTGTTTAACGAAAATGATTAGCCTATGATTTTAGTTATCTGGTTCATCAACGCATAATTTCAAGAAGATATCTGAACTCTCTTCAAAACGTATCGACGACGGGTAAAAATAATATAGCGGCGTACAGAGGTTGTGGAGCCAAATTTCTTTTAACAGCTTAAACCGTCATCACTCATCGCTTCCTGCTGATCCTTGACTATGTACCTATTGAGTTGGAACATAATATTGTAGCGCTTGCATTCGGCAAAAAATGTTCAAAGCAAAACATAAAAGCAAAGCATAAAACTGTTACTTTGATTCCATTTCGCAAGAAATTCACTGGACTTGGAGTAAAAAAGGTATTGAGCCTATTTTTGGAGTCCTCATTATTCTCGATTTGTACGACGTGAATATGACTTGAAATTGTGCGGAAGGAAGGAGTAGAGTAAGGTCCGATGAAGACGATAAGTTCCAAAAAATTCCCCTTATGGCAGAACTTTTCTTGTTAGGTAGATTTTCTGCAGCCTGAGCTTTCCAATTTCTAAGCACCATATCTGAGTACATTACAATATAGAAGAAAATGGCAAACAAGGTATTGTAGAGCGGAAGAAGTACTTTCAAACGATATGCGCGGTTTCCTAGGTAATAGTGGTATTCATTGAATTTTTAGGATTGAAAAAAAAACGCTACGACATTAAGACACTACGACATTGTGTTCCAACTCGATATACTGAGTTGCCCACTTCGCCTGAAGTACATAGAAAATATTATATAGCCAATTATGTGCCAAACCATGGCACCATTTCTCATAAACAAAGTTCATACAAGAGCATGCAAGCAAACTAGAAGGTTACGTGAAAGCGCAGTGGGACTTTCTGAATCGGAATTCGGTTGCATTGCGCGTCGGATATCGGATATCCTAACCATATATTAGGGTAACATGGGGATTTCGTTTTGTTCTCTGTGTTCTCCGGTGTTCCCACTGGTCTCATGACGTTTTCAGGTCGAGCTGATCTATGTTTGCCTATATCGTGGGTGGTGCTGCAACGTTTATGCAATTGTGGCAGTCCCTCGTCGGCGTTTCCACCTCGGAACCTTTCACCGAGTTTGAACCTGATTCCAATCAGCTGATGGACATCGAGATGGAGGAGCATGAAATGTGGAGCAAGTGCTCGTCGCAAAAGGGACCGATGCAGATGAAAAACAACAGGTCAGTGTTACCTTCCCTCCGAACTGGTTCCAGCATTGCGACATAAAGCCTACATGGTTCTTAGATGGTTGCAGTTAGAAGTAGGTATGACCATGAAGAGTCGTGAAGGTTGAATTTTCAGCCGAATTTGCAATCTTACCACAAAGCACGTAGACTTGCTTGCGGAGTTTGGATAGTGAACTTCCAAAAATCCCAAAAAACCTAAGCACCCTTTCCCGCTGACCCGGCCAGAACCCTTACGAGACATCTCAGTGTTTACATAGAGAGCCCGAAAACACGTCGCAAATATCGAATCAAAGGCAGAGAGTCACTGAGCAAATTCACCTCAGATCAATATCTATCGGTTCTGACTGTCGAAAAGCACAAAACAACAGATGGAAAGCGAGAAAGCATCACATTTGGTTACTTCAGGAGAATGCCGCAACCACTCACCGAAAAGGATCGATCTTACATCGCTGGAATTATTTTGTGAGTTGTTACATTTCAATAGATACGCTTTGCGCAACACTCTTTCTAATCTTGTACATAGATTTTTAAAACTACCCCGCTAATTCGCTCAATATTTACTGTATTTCTCGTATGTAAACACTAAATCACAGTCACATTTTAATTTGATTTTTTGTTGCCTATTGATTTTATAGATTGGCTGTGGTGTGATGGCGACCCTAATGTACAACGCACACAGTCTGTGATCAAGCTCTAAGCAGGGTCAACCGTCCGTTCGCACTATTCGAACGATGGCGTCGCATTTTGGTCACGGGTCAATGCAGGGGTCGCAATCTCGAGGACCAGCAGCCGAAAACGCGACGGTAGCGTCATTGGTCGGTGGATGAAAGGCTGGGAGGAACGCTCACGAAGAACATGAAATTGGCAAATGAACTCAAAAATAATTATTGTCTCTCGACATCCGTGCTTTTCGTCTGGAAAAATTTTTTTCCGCGCTAATTACTAATACGACAAAAAATGTCTTCAGCCAAACTTTCAGGGAGAACTCCCTTCGTCACAACAGAGTGTGGTAACAGAGCGAAAAATTGGGCAATTCCTGGTCATTAGGGCGGAAGTGGTGTAGTGACAAGTGGCGCGCTTACCACGCGAGCGGTCCGGGATCAAATCCTGGGTCGTGAGTCGCCCGGGCCAACCAAGCCTTCCATCCCTCCGGGGTCGGTTAATTGGTACCAGACTTGTCTGGGAGGATAAAAACACTGACTTGAACATCGGCTGGCCCCCGCAAGTCATTGTATAGGCCACATCGCATTCAAATGCCACTGCGAATGTACAAATGGAAGTAGAATGCGTGCCGCATCCCAAAATTGATCAACGGCAAATGCTTTATCCTTTATTCCTTTATCCTTCCTCATCAGAGAATGGGAAAACTTTCCAAAATTACCGTTTTGCAACCTTCGAAGTCACAGCTGAGTGGCGCGTATACGAAAACGAAGCTCTGTGTGCGCGGCGTATCCGAAAACAAGCCTTCTTTGTGCCGACCGCATTAGATTCAATTGATTACGCACATAGAAAAAGTTTTGAAGGAATTCCGATGTATTCGCACCAAATAAAGAACAACTGAATGCAGTGCTATGAAAGAATTCACTTCTCGAGGCTGAAAATAAAGTTCTTCGGGAACCTAATTTTCTGAGGACGATTCTTCCAGACAACGGTGAAACACATAAGAAAGCAGAAATCTCGTAGTCTTCAAAAATGTCTTCGCCCCTCCCAACAAGCTCTTTGAAGGAAGTTATTATTGCTGAAAGCTCAAAAACTCGCATGTGCTGCTCAAAAACCTATGGGAAAAATGTTCGAACGTGTGATTTTCTCGGAAAATGAACTTTGAAAAACGGTTGAGGCCTGTTATCCTGCACTTTCTTGCCATGTTAAAAGTGCATCACAGAAATGAAAATGAAGTGAGTTATGGTCGCTGAAAGCCCAAAAACTCGCTTTTGCACGAAAAATGTTCGAACGGGACAATTTTTTGAAAAAGGGGACAATCACTAAACTTTTTATACTGTTTTGATAGAGAAATATTTGAAGTTTCTGAAACTTTTTACAGCTTTCCAAAATGTCGCATACGAAAGATATTATGGGCCTTCAAAGTTGAAGGTGCGCCTTCTTAGAATTTTGGGTTTTCCACTTCTAACAGAAGTACTTTCCGGAGAGTTAGGCAATCCTTGTAGTTTTCTGAAAGCGCACCTCAGGCACAGTCCAAATCTACCTAAGCGATCAGAAAAAGTATGATTTCAAGAAGTTATGTCCTCTTCAACTTTTTTTGCTTGCCGCTCTAAGTGCTCCCACCGCCTGGGTGATACATTCCGCGCTCCAAGGCTAACGCCGCAATGAGGCCTAACGTAATCGCTTCTGCCTGAAGCTGCTGCATATTTTCATCAATCAGTTTATTGGCGGATTTCAAAAGACTGTAGCTCTGACTATGCTAGATCATGCACTTAATTGAGCAGTTCGTATTGGCATCGTTCTCGGAACGAACCTGGCCCTGTTTCTGTGTTGGAACACACCCCTGACGAAAGCACGACGAGCTATTTTGGAGTGAGTCGTACAAAGTCTTCGGTGCGACAATTTTACAATGTCGGTCCTTGTTCATCCTCAAGCCGGAAGCCAACGAAAGCCAACAGAATTTTGCCAAATCCCGTGGTTCTTCCCAAATCACTTACTGAGTCTGAGCTCCTGATCCTTTGAGAATTTTCCAGCAAGTAGCACTCGCAATGGCGATTGCTAGCATGTTGAAGAAGCAAGCCTAAAATCTGCAACGAGCATATTCTTCCTACTGCAACCAGAAATGAAGTGTCATTTCTGCATATATTCTGCCCACTGCCACTGAAAATAAAGTCACTTCTGCATATCATAAATCGGCAGTGACAATACTCCCTATCCAGGGTCAAGCATCAAACCTTGCCATTTGATGATCACGCTAATTTTAATCAAGTGTAATTTTGTACTTCTATTCACTGGTTCAATAAAAACACTGATCTTTCTCCATATCTTTATCGAGCGAAGCCGACATGACCTGATTCCGTTGGCTCCCTGTATTGTTGGATTAGAGCTATCCATGTCGATGTAACCGCAAAAGATCAGTCACGCAAACTCACAATAAAGAGAAACGCTCGACCAGAGATTCGTTTTTTTCACTCTTGCGTTAACTAGCGGTTACCTACATACGACTCTGAGATATTTCTGACAAATATGCTACAAGTGCTCTAGACATGCAAAACCCTTCCGGCGTAGTAAAATTCATTCGAAAAATGTTATATGTTGACTGGTCATATGCAGAACAGTGCAGATTAGTTAATTAAAGGAATCTTGCGCGGAAAAATCATGATTCTATTTCAGCCATAAATCACTGGCTTGAGACTCATTATCCACGATAATAGTGAAAAGAACTGAAGTATTGCTTTCGTTTTGATTAGAAATTCGAAAACTCGAAAAGGCTGCTACGCGTTCGAATTGCCCACGGACGTCTTTCACGAATGCTGGCGACGGGGATGCTCAAACTTGGTTCTTGGAGTGCATTCACTAGAAGCTCTTTCTGGCCTTCTGCTTCGTTGCATTCACATCTTACACTTCTACTCCATCCTATTCCATCGATCGATTTGTCTCCACTCTCCGAAATCGCGCGCTTTAACCCGATTCTCTCATTGCGTCGCCTGGTACGTAGCCGGCCAAACGCCGTCTTCTTTCCATGCCTCGCCTGGCTCTGCCTCCTGGTCCTTCGATGGTCCATAACGTGTAGTTTTTGTACGTTTGTTTCTCTTCAGAAACCGAATCTTCATGCGTGAAACTTTGTGTGCTATTTCCAGTGATCACAACTGACATATTCATGTTAGGAAAGAGTGCAAGAATTTTCCGCGCAAGATTCCTTTAAGGCGCGATCCAAATCCCCATGATCAGGGTTGATGATATCTAAATAAATAGGGATGCTAGAAAGTTTTGGGTAAGTCAGAGAGAGCAGCGCTTGTAGAAAGGATGCTTCTGCTTCGAGAGGATGGATGATTCCCATTCTAAAAATGAGAACCACGTGCATGACATAGTTATATAGTTACCTTCAGCATAAAAATCAAACTACCAAGAAGCGAAATGTTGGGCAAGTTGAGATGAAGCCCTGCATCGATTGAGCCTTTCTGTTCCGTTAATTTGGCAAATTTCAGTGCCTCCGTTCTTGCTGTCACGTTGATCACATTGGCAATCGTTATGTGGACCTGCATTCTTTAATCACATGGCACGACAGTCAAATGATACGTTTTGGTTCGGAGGAACCCTGAGGAAGTAGCTATTTCTTAGTCCATCCTAGACATCTATTTGGGAATGCAGTAGCTGTGTCATCGGACAACAGGATCGATCGTCACATTTGAGATAAACACACATTCCCTTATATTCTGTTCCCGCTAGATCCATTGTTGACCGTTAACATATATTATATTAGCGTTTAGCTTTACCTCGACATCTCCGCCCAAGAATACCGAGTGATTACTTCTACTTGTATTATTCCTGCTGCAAATCTTGAATTTGGCAGCATTGTTTTATGACTTAAATCCGTGCGAACCCAGTCCCTCTACCAGAAAAGCACTCTTTTTGGAATGCAGGCGATTGGTCGAAAGATGGCAAAATTATGAGCTTGCAAATAAAGGATATGTGAATCATGCTTTTCTCGAATCACTGCACGAACTCAAACTCAGTCTACACCTCCTTAAAATCACAAAGAAAAATTATAAAATGTGAGCTCTGGTTACCTGTAACTTTGGAACGAACCAATAAATAGAGCTTTAAAGGAAGCCATCAATCGTTCAAGGCATAATTTCTACAGCTCCATAGACACGCTATTTCGTCCTGAGGGGCAGCTATTTCCGTGATGTGAATATTTATTTATTTCGTACGTCTAAAATGACATGCCAGAACCTAAGGGGGCGTAGAGAAAACGATACAAATCAAGCGAATAGAAAGAGAGCAAAATGAATTGAGAGGAAATTGGAAACAAAAGGATATAATTTTCCTGTTCTCCAACCGTCCACAGAAATCGCTCTATGAATTGTGGTTAGATATATGTTCTGGCTGACACCCCTGCTGGGACTGTTGCTTTAAATGGATTAGTATAATTAACTAATTCTTGATAGGTTCGCACAGCTAGAATTAGATCCCGAACATAAGAATTGAAAGTTCACCTTTGGGAGTCCTCATGTTACACTCTGATCACTCACGCTATGTTTCACGTCATGCGAGTCAATATGGAAATAAAGTTCTAGGAATTCAGATCAGCAAGCTCCAGAAACAATAAATCAAATATGCAATGCATCGCGGATACAACTGGTATCATGTGTATGAATTTACAACCCTCCGGTCGCCATCATAACTTGAAACTGCAAACTCAACAGCCCACCAATTCTTGAAAACTCATTAACTTTGCAACAGACACATTGAGAGTTGGGCTAACCTATAAGTGATCGCGGTCTGCCATCAATTTTTCAAAAGTATTTCACGCAAACTAATACTGGCCAATTTACAACGCGAAAACCCTATTCATTATCTTCAAATTCAAGTCGTTATCTACTACAGCCTTTGAAAGACTCCTCAAGAAAGCTGTTGTCTTTGTTCGAAAATAACTTTCTATCAATGTCAGGTCTCGTCCACATAACTCATTATTTTCATCTCCGAAGATTCTCCAAGCTCGAATTAGGTAGCATGGGTAGTGAATACTCGACGATAAAGAAATGCGAGGTTTGGTTTGTCATTCAAAGCCGCTTAAAATTTGCTGAGTCATCACTCTTCTTCCTGACCGAAAATGGAGGCTGGAGAACCTGATGCGACGCCCAGTGACTCAAACTGCAGCCTTTTCCTGAGATCGCAAATGTTGATGAATGTTCTAATCCGAACTCTCTCGCTAGCTCCCGATGGTTAATTTAGACTTACCTCCATACTCTTTTGTAAACACCCTTACAGTACGAGCTTCTATTATCGAGCTGTAGTATGCGTAACATAACTTTCGCGGCCACCGCTTGCACTGACTCGCTATAACAGTGCCCTCCCTCCCTGATTCGTCAACATTCCCGCCTGTTTCCTCAGCGCGACTTCCTTTCAGTCTTAATTGTAAGGAAGAGTATAGAGGAGATGTTCTTTTTCATCTTTCACTTGAATGAAATTAAAAAGCTATGCGACGTAAACAGAAATTCCATACGAGGAGAGAACGAATGAATCCTGTAAAGGACAAGACTAGATACGGATACAACTTGTTCTATCCTTTCCTTACAATATCGGAAGGCAATAGAAAATACGTACTACTTGTGAGGTAACCCAAAGTTTGTACCAATTATTATATTTACTTACAGATTCTACCTGTATATGAAAAGTAAAGTCCATCTGCTATACAATGCCAGTTCCACTCACCACAACATCGCAGACCTTGCTGAACAGCGCGAGCCCTCGCCAACATCCTTGCCCACCCTGAACTAATCAATATAGAAAAAAAGCTTCTACTAAATTGAATCCACATCGCCCCCAACTTCGCTTTCATAGCTAGTTTTCAATAGAAACAACAAAATAGAAACCGGACAGCCAGTGTCTTTTCAATGCCAGCACGACTTGAATTTTCAGATTTATCTAGGAATAATATAAACATTAACTACTACAGTTTGAAAAATGCTATTGTATTTCTGCCACAATAATCACAACATGCTTTATGAAAGAAATAGAGTCGGTAACATGCATTCACTATACAACTTCTAAGCCAAGAGATTCCAGTTACATCGATTCAGTGACATCATCACTACTTATCGGATTAGTGCATTTTTGGTCTGATGAAAGCTTCCACAGCTGTGAATATTGACCTCTATACAACAAGCATAAATTAGACTCAACTCAGTTGAAGAACTAAACGAATAAATAAAACGGGAGGCTATTTCTACATATTAGAAACATCAAAAGATTTCAAATACAGCGCATTGTCGCGCTAACAATAAATACTTTCTTTATAAAGACAAAATGCTGCGCCCACATAAAGGTGAACGACATTCTTACATAATATTCAGTTTTACCAGGCCGCCAGTCTGATAAGACTGCTGCTGCTGAGGAACCATCGACGACTGTCGTTGAGGAGACTGTTGAAAAGATGGTCGCTGATATTGACCAATCATTTGCTGCTGAACTGCCGGCTGTTGTTGTTGTTGCTGCATCCAAGAAGTGCCCGCACTCACCCCAGCATATGGCGCATCTTAAATTCACTTATTCAAAAAAAGCCCTCTCAATGCACCAACATAATGAGAATACCACTTGAAATAAAATGTAAAAAAGAAATTAAGACAGAAACACTAAGACATTCCTCCCAAGAGCCTGGGAACAATGAAGTCATTGCAATCATAAAAAAATCATGAAGTGGAATTGAATTGACTGTACTTACTCAGTGTAGTCTGTTGCACTTGCCCTAATCCTAGCTGTGCTCCGGCCTGCTGCTGTTGCGCTTGTTGCAAACCTACACTCTGCCTGAAAGGAAAAGACGTGTATCAAATAAAGAATGAAGAACAGGTGTGCACAGTAATAACTTACAAATACTGTTGTGTGGTCATTGGCGCTGACGATTGGACGCCAATTGCAGGCTGCTGTTGCTGAACGGCCTGAATACAACACAATTTTCATAAAACACCGCAGTGATTTCCCTGATCTATTTCCAAAATGATTTGCACTGAAAAACGATGTCATATTCAAGTGGGCAACGGCCACTCTGTGAATGACATCGCCTACTTCAAGTGGTCAGAAGTATCGGGCTTGATTTACATTGATGAGTACACAGATGCTCCACACTGCACATTTGATTTACTATTAGGCTGAGCCAAAATTAATGTCCGAATTTTTGAACCTTGCCATTGTTGCCGGAATATCTTATGCAGTTCTCGGCGTCTTGTTGTGTAGGGCTTCCGCTGCTCGGACAAGGCGTTACTGGATATGGGATGTTTGTGTAAAAAATACAGAGGCTCCACTGGATGGAGGCAGCTCAGCATCCAAAGTAAGCTCCGAAAGGTGATCACCAAAGAAAGGTTCTCTGTTCATTGGTGCGTCTCATTACAGATATCAAACGATGACACCACCACTAGCAGCTCACAGCTTACAACTTCATGCGACCTCAAGGTGCCGCTTGCTGCAAATGAGATAATTCCGTAGGGTGACAAGACATAACCATACATCGCAAACGAAGGCTGGGAGATTATATAGGAACTTGGCCTTATGAGGCTCCTTCACCCACTACATTCGAACTACCTCGTAAAACCGAAAGCCATTCATTCCGCTCTTCCACTCAGTTTCGAAAGAAGAAGAGGAGTCATGATGATCGTAAATACCACAAGATGAACCTCATTCGTAGCGTCGATGTTCGCAAAATTCTGGGGAAAAAAGTGTCTAGTTTTTTGCGAAGAAAAAAGGCTGTTGAGGGAAACTGTGGTGATCACTGCATGAAAATATATTAAAGGCAAAAGTCAGGCTCGTGTTTGGGCATTATGGCGCCTGAAATTGAGTGTAGAGATGGGAGGTGGAACGACAGTGAAGAAAAAACGCAAAGAAACCGTCGACAAGACCGAAATCGAAACCCCTTCCCTTCTAGCAGTGAAGGAGGCTTGCTCGGGGGAGAGCCACGTCCAAACGAGTTTTCCGGATATGCCAGCCGTTCCATCGGTTGATACGGCAATCAACCTAGCTGATCTCACACGTTAGGCCAGCCACGCACCACAAGCGGCCACGCACCACATCCCGCGGTGGGCGGGACCAGCTGATGAAACGAACCCATCGCTGTAAGTAGTAGGCCAGAGGCCTTGACGGCGCGCAATCTCGAGTCAGGAGTGTGGCATCACCCCTCTGAGCGCATTCCTGGAAATATTAGTGATGGAAAGGCCTTCTATGGTCACCTAATCCTGACTCGTGGCTTTAAGTAAAATATCAAGCTTTAATTATTCATCGTAGAGGACATTATTTATTTATTTATTACTATGCACTCGTAGGTGCGCTACAATAATTAGTCAGAAACCAAATCGTTATAAAATGAGAGTCATCGACTTAAAGTAAACACAATTTGAGCAGTATTTTACCCACAAGCGGAAAGTTCACAGACACATATTATTCGAAATCGTTGATGCCTAATAAGGCAAGTAAGTCAATGTTCTTTAATTTCCTTTTGAATTACTGAACTAAATAAGTAAATAAATAAATAAATATAGCCATTAAGCACTTGCGGAGCGACATTACATATAACTCAGTCTAATACTATTACACTTGACAGGACACCTCTCTAATAGTACAGCAGTAACATTGTTAGGTTAAATAAAGCCTGACTAAGAAAGTGCCATACTTTGCAGTGCTACGGGCTATCAAGTCGATAGTGTTTTAGTAGAGAACTGCCGAACAATTAAGAAAACATGATGGGCTCTAGCTGTGAGCACAAGTAATGCTAACACGATTATCTGGAACCCCTGGCTTCAATTTTTGAGCCGTATTCACAATATTTGTGTTCTAGTCACACAAATAAAACACGAATTCCATCGGTACGCTTTTGCCGGCTTGCCTACCCGCGTTTTCTCTGGTTACCATGTATTTTTGTGAATACGAATTAACTAATGCTGCCTCACTTAGAATAACTCACAGTGACATATGGTAGACCTTGTTGCGGCTGCACATTTACCAGTCCTTGTTGCATTGTAGCTCCTACCGTTCCATATACTGCTGTGGGCTGGCTAGAAAGGTAGGTGGTTTGTTGACCGGGGACGGCGCCAATTTGAGGCACAGCCGCCACATGCTGGACTTGTGGAGGAGTAGCAGCAGCATAAGGAGCCTGAAATTCTACTGCTGTAATCAAAAATAACGCCACCGAGGCCAGACTTTCGGAATCGAACAATTCGCTAGACTCGCTGGTAGCGCAACGCGACGGCGGACACTAGCGAGTCGCTAGTAGGTGCCTGATTCCTAAAGTCTGCATCGGCCTGCCGCCCTGCTCCATATTCACATTTCGCGATCTCAAACATGAAAATGTTTTTTGAGCTACAAAAGGTTCCTACTCAAACCTTATATAGTAATGCTGTTCCGAAATTTGGTAAACATACCGCAAGACCATACTTGAAGAAGTCACCATCCCAATGCACATCTTACGAAGGTAGCTCACCTTTAATGAATAGGGATGACTTCCACCAATAGCTGTAGGTTGAGTATACGCTTGTGGTTGGGGAGCAATGTAAGGAACGGCAGCCGAAGAAAGCCTGAATCAGATACAAAGATGTTGGACTTTCCTTGAAGTGATGCGTTACAAAAGCAAATTCCCTGGAACGTAGCGACCCGACGTTACCGAATATCATAACGCCGCGATAATACGATTGAATTAGCATAAACCACTGACAGTATTTTGCTCACGCGAAGCGACTAATGTTCAGCGAGAAACAGTTATCGATTGAAAGGCGAAACGGCGGCAGCTTTGCATGGAGGGTTATCATTAGGAGCACGTGGAACTACACGACTGCACTTAAATGGTGACGAGAAATATTGCATTCTGAACGATTAGGTATAGCGAAGACGTGTCGATAATGCGTGTGTAATCGCTGCATCAGTCATCAAGAAACGCACGAACAACGTAAAAAATCGAGCGAAAACGAATCTACGGCGCCTGCGAGACCTCTCCACCTACTGTGCCCACCGACTAACCGGAACGAGATAAGAATGCACAGTGACTGTACGGATACCAGAACTTCCATAAACATTTTTCTGGAAGAGAGCGGAGGGAAACAAACACGGTACGACGAGGAGAATTATATAATCATCGAAGAAGACGTGTCACAGAGGACTACACCTGAATCGACCTAACGCGTAATATGACATCTGTAAGATCGAAACGTTGACAAATCACCGCCGCAGCTCATCGAAAATTGCACGAGAAAACAAGAGGGAATGCGACGAAATCTAGCGATTGGAACGGCCCTTTACAACGATTTAGCAGAGATAGAGGCAGCTTGATATTATCTACGAACGAAACAATGACAGTCGAAGTATTTCAACGAAACGAAAACAGAGAACGACGATGCTTTAGAGTTAGTCGGTGAGCACAAGATTTCAAGACAACTACATCATATTTTCCAATAGTCCACATTTTGTACTTACTAACATCCCAGTGCTCCAATTTCGCGGGTATTTGTATAACTAGATTAAACTCCTCCAAGTCCTAAAAAATGAATGTGTAAAACTGTAAAACTGCAGTAGCAGTACTGTGTAGATGCTGTGCCCAATGGCGCGAATGGCGTGACGTAGACCGATCCAGCCATGCCATTGCGCTTCGCATGGATCTCCTTTTGCAGTCGCTCACGATAATAGGTATATCGCTGTCGAGATAAACTGTATTCCTCATACAACTGTTGTAGTTCACTGAAAATGTACAGCTTATTATAGGAAGATCAAAAAAACACAATGAAGTGGATTGTTACAGAAAGAATTGCGCATCTATGAGAAAAAAAAAACGAAGAATCACACTAGAGGTGCAAATGACATAGATGAAACGGAACCATCCTGAAAACGCTTGAACAAACGTAGAAAAAAATAGGTAATGGATACTTACGGCTCTGGCGGACGTGGTATTTCCTCATCTACCATACTAATCATTTGAACGGGTCGTTTTGCATCCGGCCCATCTCTGGTAAGATGTTATATGAGTTCAGAAACCAATATCAGCTAGCAATAATTAATAATAAATAACCCTTACATCGCACCAGCTGGACGTTTCACTGCACCAGTTAGATCTATCTTGATTGTTTGGGTGACTCTGAAAAAAGATTGTGGTTTTTCACATTGTTGTACAGACACCGGAGAAAACTCCACACTAAAACTATAGAGGGAAGATCTCTAGCCAGCAAAAATCCAACTTACTGGTTATTCGGATCCTTGGGACAGTTGGGCGTTTTGTGGTCTGTTGAAGCACAACGAAAACACTGATTCGACATTCCTGGCTGCGAGCGCAATTTGGAAGTTGACCTGAACAAAGTAAAATCACATCGAGTAACTCCAAAAAGCGTCAAGATCACGGCATGCCCCATGGAGACTCAATACACTATACTACTAATTCAAACTAATTTAATGAGAAATTCTAGAGCATCCTAGGACTGAAAGATTTTTGCTGCCGAAATAACAACGACAACTAAGAATTATGAGCAGAAAACTCACAGCTGAATGTGAATATTTTTCCCTTCAAGAGTGTAGCCATTCAGTCGGTTTATAATTGACTGGACATCATCATCCTCGATATGCTGCAAAAATATGCCAACTTCACGGGCAGTAGAAAACCAACCGATAATGGTGGAGATTTACT